ATCGACTAGAACCGCCACTTTCAGTCCTAATTTGGAGTCGACTTGCGGATGTGCAACCTCGTTCTCACAAATCAGATGTTACGACATTGTTGGAAAGGGAGAAAAATGAGTGTTAAGTGATTTGACGACTCCCTCCATATTCTCTGGAACGAAAGCTACTTTGATTTCCACCCAGTCTGATAGTATTAAATCGAGGGTAGTCATTTTGCAGTAGACTAATCGGGATTGAATTAAGTGAGCAAATTGACTTTTCTGGGCCATTTAGAGAGACCGTTTTGGTGACAAAGTGAGTGCGTTGATGTCCACCGCATTGCTTGCAACACCTCCACTTCTTAACAGCCCTCCTTTGTGCCCATTTTATTTCCCGCATACAACTAGGTTGTGCGCAGTGTGAGAGTCGTTTGCATGGACCAACTTACGATATGTTGCCTTAACTTAAACGTATGTTCTTTCGCTAACCACCTGCTCATTGAAGTTTCATTCTACGTTTTAACTCGTTCCTCACGATATGTCGACATCGTGATGGCTTTTACACCACAAGTGAACTTGCCAGCTGAGAGGACTGGGCCTAAAGGAGGGCATGAGATTCCGTTAAAAGACAAGTTTTCATTCCACAGTCACTAGTGTAATAGTTTATACTGACACTCGGACTAAAATCGGCACTCGTCACAAACAACCACCGTGTAGTTTGAGTGCAGCGAAATTTGCACCGAGAAGCACTACTGATGGAAATAAAGTAGGTTGAATATGAAGAAATTGAAGGCGATTGGAATGCTGGAGTGATCTGTTATCAGCTGATGATTGGCTGATACAAAGGAAGCATCAGCTAACTGATGTACAAATGGCCCAAACCAAGTGGCAGCCTCCGCTTATCTTCGACTTACGCATCGCCATCGAGTAAGAAGTGGAGATTGCATTGAACAATGTCTGGCCTTGGAAAGGGAGGAAAGGGTCTGGGAAAAGGTGGAGCCAAGCGCCATAGAAAGGTGCTGCGTGACAACATCCAAGGCATTACAAAGCCAGCGATTCGACGTTTGGCACGTCGTGGTGGTGTTAAACGCATCTCTGGACTTATCTACGAGGAGACACGCGTTGTGCTTAAGGTGTTTCTCGAGGATGTTATCCGAGACGCAGTTGCATACACTGAACACGCAAGACGCAAGACGGTCACTGCTTTGGATGTCGTCTACGCCCTCAAACGCCATGGTCGTACCATCTACGGATTTGGTGGTTAGTGCATGGCTCTTCTTGAGGAGACACGACGCTCAACTTTTTCTCCTGATTGTGGCATTTTTGCTATAATTCCCCTATTCTTTGTGTGTCTGTAAATTGAACAAAACGTTGGCATTATGCAAAGTTGGTGCCACATCGCATTACATTTATGAAAGAGTTACACGTTTTTGAATAGTTTAAATGTTCACTTTCATCGGTAGGGTAGTGCATCCAAAGCCATGAGAAATCGTGGCATGCCAACTTTCATGCTTATTTTGTACCGTTCCACGATGTGAAACAACTTGCTGTAATAAAAACGGTTCCTTGAACAAGCGCCTGACCGTGTAAACGATGAATACATCTAAAATCTTTGGTGTAGCGCGTGCCAAAGTCCCTTTCGACACAGAAAAGGACAAGGAGACGTAGGCGCCTTTTTAAGTCAATTTCTCACTGACATGGTTGTCTTGCACGTTCGACCATTGTTTGTTTTACTGTTATGCGATTTTGTTGGCAAGGCTGAGTTTACACTTTTTTGATGGTGAAGTGAAAGACAAATGACACTGAGTGAAGGCGCGATGTCTCTCAAGCGAAGGTGTCATAACTATGACCACAGCATCGAAAGGCGACTTCTGCTGCCACCATTGAGACGCCGAAGAGGATGTAGACAAAGTCGGATGCTCAGCTCCGTCATTGCCGCGACTGAGCTGGAGGTTGTGGTGGTGATGGAAATGTGATGGTGCCCGTCGATGACAACAATGAGGAAGGAATTGGAAGAAGGTGGAGATAATTCCGCCTACCTTTGGCTTACAGTGCTACCTGTTTCAGCGGCTGTAGCAAGGTGGGCTTTATCGGGCTGCGCAGCATTTGCGCCAACGTCCGTCTCTACCAAAGATGGAGGGCAAACTCAGTAGCCATTCGATTTTTTGGCTGTTTCTTTTAACTATCAAAAAAAATCGCCTTGTTAGGAGCTCGTCGTCCTTTCCGATGCCTTGTGACAAATTTGAATGCTTTGCCTTTGGATAAAAACAGCAAATTTAGGCGAAATGCATTTATGCGCCATCAATTGCTTCAGAGAACACCAAAATGTGCTGATTCTGCTCTTGTCCCAGTTGTTAAAGCAGTTAATAGTTATCAAATGTGGTTCTAGAAATTATGCACGAATTGACGTTTCATTGTGGTAATGTGCGATGAAACCCACCCGTCGTCTTCTACCTCAACGGCATGGATTTCTGGTCATGCCGATGTCATAATAGGGCGCTAGTGTAACTCAGGTTCTCTCGATTACACCTCGAAGGCGAGAGGTAGTTGTGGAACGGACGTCATTCACTCTCGATAAGTAGGTAGGAGAAGGCGGAGGCGGAGGGAAGGAGGCGGACAAACGAAGAAGTGAGTCCTAAACAGGCATAACTTCCGATCACTGTGCGAGGACCACTCGCATCAACTCTCTCTCTATCAATGCATGATCGTCTAGCTGCGATGGCACAGATTTCGTGAAAATCCATGATTCTAGTCCAGCACATCGGTTAAATGTTCTAAGTAGGTGTGAGAATGGCCACTTCTTGAGGAAATCGTAATACAGTCAATTACTATTTTGAATGGTCCTCTGGCCAAGTTTTGGCCAATAATCCTGTCACGAAGTCATAAAAGGGCAGCATTTCTGGAGCGCCATGAGCGACCTGGTTAAAAACGATCTCCATCGGTTTAAATGATAAATGATCAGATTCGGTGAAGCGTATTTAATGCATTTTTGCGACTGAATAATTTAAAAGGAGACCCGGTACATTGCCAGGTTTAAGCCACCACCCCAGCTTCATCATCTGCTAAACGATTTCTCCACCTAAAAATACACTTTTCGCGTTACGACCAGGTGGCTCGCTTTCGTATATGACTTCAAGAGAGACGTCCATAGGTTATCAGCATTAAAGGCCCTCCCAATGGCAGCCTATGCATCAACACTATAGTGGGCCTACTAATCTACCCCTACACTAATGTCAAGCGTTAATCCTGTTTTTGATTTCCAGTGCAAATCTAAACAAATTTTATAAATGCATCAAAAAATGAAGCGAACTAAAAGGGATGCATACAATTAGCCTTGAACTCTAATCTTCAGGTTGGCATTTCGCCTTGCCGCTGTAACCATGAAATATTTATCGAAATCATACCAGTGGGTAAGTATGCGGCCGATGTTTTGCGGTATGGACTGTACTTCGATTACATCAATTGGGCAGAGAGACAGAAGTGATGAATGTGGACAGACTCACCGATGTTAATTGCTTTCACCAATTTTTCCCTACTGAAATTTTATAAGTAGGAACCTTAATTTGCGTCAGTATTGAGTTCTAATTGGTATTTAATACAATATTTTTTTACAAATGAAATAGTCATCTTACTCATAATAAGTCAATGTCGCTACCATTCTACCATAAATAGAGTCTCATCATGCGGGTTTTCAAGTCTCTGAAGTAAATGTTTTGGCGAAATAAAGTAAGTACTCTCCTTGTCTTAGTAAAAGAAGGTAGCCATTCGTCTACATTTAAAATGCTACACAATTTTACTGCATACGATGTAGAATTCTTCGCGCAGCGAAAAATTATAGGGTAATTTGCACACCTGCTAGGCAATCTATTTAAATAGAGAAACCTTTTCCAAAGACCGAATAAACTAGGAAGAGAGGACGAACCAACTCAACACTGACTCAACAGCTTGAAGCTTCTGTTCACCTCACTGGCCTAACCTAATCTTGTGTCTTGTTTGACTACCCTCGTCAGGTATTCGTTTTATGGTAACTTTGCACCTTTTCAAATTCTCGTAAAGCGTTCGCAGTTAAGAGGTGTTTAAAACGTTAGGGACTACACGTGCATTTGATGTTGCTTGCGATCAGGTGAACAACAGGTTGCGGATCATCCGATTTGCGTTGAGCAGTGATCCATTCAATTTCGCTTTCATATTTGTGTGTGAACGATGAAACTATCCTCTCCTCATGTTGCAGTGTTTCTGCTCTCCTACCTAACCCTTATCTTACTTAATGAGCTAATTATGTTTAATTTTTGGACATGGTGGGTGATGTGGACTGTAACGGACACCTTCGCCATTCTACTGATACGTAAGTGTTGGTGCGTAATTGATGAGATCAACTTTGTACAAATGGTAGAAAAGCAAAATAAAAGATGCTTTGGTGGAAGTCAAACCGTTTGCTACTTGGCCATCGAATGGACAAAAGAAACTTTGGACGCGTACAGTCCCAGTCTCCAACGGATGAATTTTGCTGTGCTAGCAAAAAGTTACTCCAGTATGGCCATTTCAAGGGGAAGAGGATTGAGTGAAATTGTCGCGAGTCCTGAAGTAGTGGAAGGTGATGAGGACCTGCGGCTGAACTCTGCAGAAGTCACAAACCTTGACAATTCAAGCACAGGTAAGGAGTGTCCTCCACAAGCCCCTTTACAACACCCACAGTTCCTAAGTTCATCAAACTGGATTATTTTACATCGTTGTTTAGTCCGAAGGAGCCTTTAACAGCCTCTTCTTCTTCAAATTATCGCATTAGTGAATAAAAATGAGGCACCGATTCCCAAGTGACATCCACCCCTACAGGTAACACTGCCTCTGCACTTTCAGAAAGTCAAGTCTCAACTGGTGACGGTGGAGGCAAAGGTACCCAGCACGGCTCCGTAAGTCGCTCATGAAGACACAATTGCACCACCTTCAAATTCTTTACGTCTCATTACCTCTACTCGCCTCTACAGTCTCACAAAATCCGGCGATTACAAAGAGGCCTCATGTCTTTTCTGCGTTTTTGCTGCATCCAACTTCCAACCTCGGACTAGACTTCACTACTCCCCTCACGGACCTCTTCGTTGGATAAATAATTAAATTCCACTTTTAGGAGGGAATTGTTTAAAGCAATAAAAGCATTTCTGTCCATTGTGTTTGCAGTTGTTTGTAACATAGAGAAAAGTAAGGCTTTAACAAACTTTTGCAGTGTGAAGCGACGCCGATGGCTCAAAGGGTGCAAGTGGAGCCTCGTGGTTTCTGGTTTTATCAAATTTCTGGAGTAATACAAGCAGCTTAGTAAAATTGTAGCGTGTGCATTGAAGTCACAAATCGAGAGGAAACTTAAGTAGTAGAAATGGTCAAACTAGGGACAGTTGCTTTGCCTTCCCTGTCTTTAGCTTACAGCTCGCGCCTTTTGTCAGTCGTTGGGGGGAAGTGGTGAGTGGACAAAACTTCATGCCGCCACTCGAAGAGGGTGACCGACTGATTGCCCGCAGATTGAAGTATGCGATCAGTGCACTTGCACAGACCAACAATCAAGTTCATTCAGGGATAGTCTGTAAGGCACTGAACCAGGAGGACACAATCGCTCATCTTACCTAGTAGACGAGGAAGCTCCTCAAAGTCAGACGAAGTCTGAACCTCAATCGCTGGCACCGAATACAAAAACCTCTGACTACAAAAATTTAGTCTTTAGGGAGAAAATAAGTGCAACGCATTGCAAATGCATAACGCATTTTGGCAAGATCTCTACGGTGGTTGCATTCAGAGACCTGCAAAAGTATTACAATTTGCAAAGAGTGGCATTTTTGGTTGCTTGTAAAGCTATCATTAACGAATTGTTTGCATGTTGGTACGTTCTCCTGTGTAGTTTACTTACAACACAAACAGTTGTCTAATCTGTCTTGACACCCTTATTATGCGATATTTGCGGCTCTAAAGAGAGACAAGAAGTAGGTGTCCCTCCACAAAATGTACTACTCATAAGCTAGTGAGTAGTTCTGCCACACATTAGTTAAACTTGTAAGAGGAGCAGAAGCTGTTCTATCAAAAGTTAAATTGCTGCTCTTCAACTACGACAATGGTCCCACTGCTTTCGTTCTGTTTATCAAAACAAAATTCGGTAGATTGTTACGAATGGTTTCTAGCTTACTCTACCAAAAGCTACTCTGCTTCGAAGCAATTTGTTCCTTTTTTAGCACAACTGAGGAGTCTGCGAGCATCTACTGCCATCTAATGGAACAGGCTTTCACTCCACTGCCACCGTCACACAATTGATGCACATTCACACTCGACACATGGGATTCCTTAGGCGATGCCGACTCGTTCATGTGCTGCCCGATGCATTCCTCGTTCTCAATGGGGAGGATGACAGTATTCCCAAATTAACGAGTCACATTCACACTGCTTGTCTAGGAGGCAAGACAATGATGACAAACAGTAAATGGGATTGTAGGGAATGACAGCTGCTTGGTGCTATCAGTGAAGACAAAATTCCCACTCATACACACTCTGCCAACCCATGCAAAGTGGAGGCATGAAGAGGAAATCACTGAGTGCAAGCAGTCCTACGCAATTGAAACCATCCCTTCTCGAATTAGCGACTGGAGTCCATTTGAAGCAAAGAGAGCATTGCCAATGCACTTGTTTTGCATCAGAGGAGGGAAGTGATTGAAAGCCAAGCTGTTCTCTTATTTTACAATCTACAAGGGCGTGGAGTCTAGCATGACCAAGTGGTAACTTTCAAATTTGCATGAAATCGAATTTCAGCTCGCAATGACTGCCGATTGTAGAATCATAGGTGCAACGGTGGTACATTCGAGGAAGACACAAATCAGCTGCCACGAGACTCACTTCCTTCGAATCCTCGCTCTCACTGGCATCCTCAACGCCTCCTGCACCCTTGGCAGGCCTGTCTCGGCAGCGATGCGCACACTCAGCCTCGGTCCACCTCTTTTAATGCCCACAGCTGTGGAGGAGAGGGGAAGGAAGAGGGCAGGACGTGTTTCGTTCACTTGCTGCAACAGTATTTATAGGAAATCGAGAGAGTTTGTTTGTCCATCGACACCAGTCCCTCGATTTAGGCAATGACCACACCGCAACTGCTTCATCAACCTGCAACACAATGTCATGCAGAATAGACGAAACCGCTCTTCATACATTATTTTTGTCGACAATGCAGGTGCAAATCGTGCCGCCTCTACCGACTTCCTTCGACTTTCTGCTGTCTTCCCTTTAATGAGGTGCCACTTTGTCGAAAGAGTTTTAATGCGTTGCGAAATACTTGCTGTGATTAGGATTGGAGAGGAATAATTTTGGTTCCACTTGAAGGGGACCACTGGATTCCTCGCCACAGTCGCTCACGTCTATTCAACGCAATATAAACATCGCGATGGCAGTAAAATTGGTACAAAGTTAGCACCCACACTAAGCATGGACACCACCTTCAGGAAGGCGCACTTGCCTCATTCACAGCTGCATAAATGACAATTGTGACAATTGTGACTTTGACCTGCCAACAATTCACTCAACTGTGCCGCTTTTGTCACTTCGACCCTTCCTCATTCCGAGGAGGATGCCGTACTGTGCAGCCATGATGTGACACAAAAAAAACTGCTGTTTGTCTGCAACCACTTGAGGCATCGTGCCTCAAGCCTAGAAAGTTGTTTGGCTTTGTAATCAGTACAAATGAGAGACCACCACGGTGGTTGTGACATTGCGTTCAACGTCCAAACTGAAGCAAGGAAAGCACAATGGAATCACCTGTGAGACCCACACTCGGATCTAAAGCAATCAAAAACCCACACAAGAAGTGGAAAACAAACGGTCACTTTTAGACTGATGTCCAATGTAGTGTTAGAGCGTCTGTTGACCGTTTTGCAGTGAGGGCAGCAACGGTCACAGCAGAGGAGGGCATTATTTTGGGCTGAATATAGGCGCTCTAGCAAGAGGAGGAGGATAACAAAGGGCCACAATGGTTTGTTGCACGATTGGCTCACGAAACTCGGCTCCACCTAAAACATACATCAATTGGAATGCCTGTAAACCGGTTTTGCATGTTCTCAGACTTCGACACTTTGACACTTGTCAACCTAAGGTTCACCTTTTACGCTCATCCGTCAGCTTTGACATACAAACTGATGCCACACGTTCCACCACATTCGGACAATCAGACTGTTCCTACCTTCCGATGCCCATCGTCTCTTCACTCATCCTCTCTGCCGCTTCCCTCACATTTCACTCCATGCGCAACTATGTGTTAGAGAAAAAGCACTAAACGTTAAACTCACCGCTGTTCCACCCTCCACTGTTGCAAGGTGACAGGAGGAGGGCTTTCCAATTCAAAAGTACGAAGAAGCAGTTGAGAGAAGAAATAAAAATGAGCAGCCACTATCTATTGTACACATAATTGCGGTGAAATGTATGCGCAAGTACGTATGGGCAGAAACAACACACTGTTGCAGGAGTGGGAGGTCAGTGATACAAAGGAAGGAGTCATGAGCGAGGTTTGCACTCAATCGACCAGGTGTCAAAGTTGAAGGAACACTTGTACCTCCTTCGTAGACGACGAGGTTTGGCTGATATGAGGACACCTTTAACTTCGCCGCCTTCGTGACTTGTCTCCACCTCATCCACATCTTCTCCCTCCCAATATTCGGTCTCGTCCAATGTGTCCATCTGCTTTTCCGGCTCAGTCTTGGCATTCAGTAAAACAGTGCTGAAGGTGGGACAAGCGCAGAGTGCGAGAACGAGGAGGAGGAGGAGGAGGAGATGACAACTGAGAACAACTAACGCTTTCATGATACGTAAAAATGCGGATTCGAATTTGGTTGTGTGACGAATGCTTTGTGCACATCCTCCGCCATCTTTTATAAGCGTCGTCGTAGCTGTGTTTACCATTCATCTTTTGTAGCTGCGCCACAACGCGTGTGGACACACACACCCACGATGTCCACCCACCACTCAACCACTTGCAACATCCGACTTTAGCGCAACACCAAATCATCGCCAAATCTAATTCCATTCTAACATCCACGCAAACAAACTCACACTGCGAATGCAGCAATCATTTGCGTATGCGGTTCGCACGCGACGCCACTTCATCAACACCTCAAAATTGTCATCCATGCGCATAGACAATGCTTACTTTGAACACGGCGACTAACTTGGTCGAGTGAGCTTAAGAAATCTATTGCATCACGCCATAAGAGAGGAAAACACCTGAAAACGAATGTGTTAGACCTGTTTCGGCGTCAAAGACTTTTCAATGTTTACGCTGCCAGTGACTACGTTGAAATCCTTCTCAACTATTACTAGGCTGAGATGGCACTGTCTTTTGCTAACAAATCTCAGTGGTGGTGGAAGTGGTGGCAGCAGAAAGGTAAGTTGAGCACAAATGACCTTCATTCAATGACCACTCCTCGATTGCAACACATCTGACGTGTTTCTTATGCGCCTTGTAGGTCTGATGGTGTGATGGAGGGGACAACTGACTCGGTGTTGCAACATTTGTAATTTCATCCCTTCACCTTCTTTTCGTGGCCTTCGAATTCTCACTTTGTACCACTGGGTCAAATGAAACCCCTCCGCGATGACAAACACTCTCGATGGAAGGGAAGGCGATGTCAAATGGACGACGCGTTAGGCAGTGCGGTTCGCCTTTCCGCGTAAAGGCTGCAGCGACTGAGACAACGCTAAGTGGCTTGCCACTTGTTCGTGTTTTGTTAGACAGTCGTGTGACACACACGTGTGATGTGGTGCCACCTTTGCTCCTTAAAAAATCGGATCCAACTGTTGTGACCATACGTAAGCAGTGAAGAGGTGCGAGTAGTCCACAGCTACTGCCTACCTGTGTGGTTAGGCACGCGGAGTTTGCTGTGTTCCCGATGGTGAAGAAAATGCCTTCATATGGCAGCTTACCTCACTTGCAGGTGGTTGCAATTGGCGCAACCTGATGCTCATGAAGATGTGACTCAAAAAAGCATCTCTTGTTGGGCATCCTTAGACTGTGCACGAAATCTTCGCCTCTTGTCGTAAGAGGATGGACTAGAAGGACATCACCATGATGTTTGTGACTCGCTGGTGCTAGTGAAAATCGAGATAGAGGAAGTATGGCAATGAATAAATAAATAGAAGTGGTTGGATGTGAAAGAAATAAGGCGCGGGAAGTGGATTTCCTTGAGGGTCATTTTTAGCTCTGAGTGACTACGTTGGAATGCTTCAGTGCATACTTCAAAGCTGGCATGGCACTGTCTCCTGCAAACAAATAAATCTTAG